TGGTGCGCTTCAACAACGCGCGGCCCGCGGCCAAGGAGGTGCCGCAGCGGCTGGTGGCCAAGGCGGGGCAGAGGTTCGATCGGGTGAGATCTGGATTGTTTTGGTGGCTGAAACTTAAGGGAAGTGAAAGGGAAACCAACAAAGCTTCAAGAGTTTTCTCCATTTTGGGTTTGTCTCCAAGTGGGCGAGTCCCAGAATTGCTGGTGTCCTTTTGGGTTTTGCTTAGCACCAAAAGGGGAGTTTCCCAAAGATAGACACTTGTTTTTCCTTAACGACTGAAATCTAATGCGGTCTCTGCCCAGTGAAGCCCTGGAGTGGTCTGGGAATTCCCGAAGGGTTCCGAAAGCGTTCGGAAAGAGTTGCTGTTGGGGATTCCTTTGCGGACGGGATCCCGGACCACCCTACGGGGGCTTTGCAGTGGCTTACCTGCCCCCTATTTGGGTATGTCGTGAAGAGAGACCGCCTTCCATTTTCGACACCGAAGGGAAACTGAGCCAGATGCTCTCGCGCGCGCACGCGTGCCACGTGGGGTCCACTCTTCCCACTTTCACCCCAAGCCCCAAGCCCCAGTTTGCCGAGGGCCGCGCAAGCAGATGATCATTGACCCAGAACCAAACGGTTGCAACAAGAAATCCTCCAAGCCCTTTTGGGTCCAGAAGTTGGTTTCATTTCTCGCCAGAACCCACTTTTGCAAACTTGAGACAGGTGCTGCGGCGCCGGAAGCCAAAGGACGCCAAGGGCCTTCTACGGCAGGCGCTCGTTTTTTTTTTGCCGGCCGCTGGAGCGCAGGACCCGAAGCCATCCCGATTGGTGGGTTTTCTCTTGGCTTCAAACTTTTCCGAAGGGGAAGCCTCAAGAAAGACAGACCCATATAGGCATAGGGGTGTTTTATTGGGTCGCCACTTTCTGAAGGGAGGGCCATGGGTTTTGGGTCGCAACGGAGGGGTTGAGTCTCAGAACATGGGAATCGTGTGGAATTTCTGCACTTGGCCGAACCACCTAAGATGGAGCCAGGGACCTTTGACAGGTGCAAAATCGATTCGATTGAACCAAAAGCTGTGGTGTTTTTCAGGATTCGGCCCCATGGACCCCAAAACTGGCTTCGGGGTTTTGTTTGGTTCCCCTGTTAAAGACCCTGAAAAGGGCACCGAGCCTCAAGCAAAGACTTACCCACCCAGCTCTTCGGACTCGACTTGTTTGTGTTTCCGCATGGGTCCCAGGTCCGAAGGTGAGACCTGTCATGCGGGAACCCGACTCATGTCAAAGCAAAAGCGTGGTTGGGGTGGGGTGGTGGGGGGGGGGGGGAGACAAAGCACTCCCAAAGCAGTTTCATGCTTCTTTATTGGCAGATGTGCTGCACAAGTTGGCAGCAACTGGACTTATTGTGCCAGCAGCGAGCATCGTGCCTCAATTGTTCAGACACTCTGTGGCATGGAAATTTCAAGGGACTGGAAAAGAAACTAAGCATTTCAGGAGTGCGACTCATTAGGAAGGCAAACCAGCGTTGCCAACCCTACCTAGCGGTTTGGTAATTATTCTCCTTTCCTGGGGTTCTATGACTCACCCGGACAGCGGCTTTCCTCAAGTTGGGTTGCAAACGGATTGGTGCGGTTACGTTTGCCACAAATACCTGACATCGATCTCGGGCTTCTGCTTAAGAACATTAGTTCCAAGGTGTTGGTCAGGTATCCTCTGGCGCTTTAAGACCCATGAAGGATGTTTCCTTGCAGGCCTTGCCAATGATTGGGACTCCCTTGAGAAGCCATTGGGGAGTTACCCCCTCCCCCCAATTTATACACATGTTTCAGGTCTCAGTTGGGCAACTTGGATACACGCAGAAGGACCTTCTCTGTGCCATGAAGGTGGATGTTCACTTGCCCAGCGGAGATGGTTGCTCTATAGCAGTTTCAACGGCGACGCGCATCAGCGAGCTGAAGGCTGCAGCGCAGCTGCATTTTCAGCGACTCTTGAAGCTCACTGCAAAAGGCCGTCAGCTCGACTTGTCGGCCACGCTGAGCGAGGCAGGGCTGCAAGACGTGGACATGGTGGCTGCGGTTGTGCAAACTGGCTGCCACTAGTCAGGCGTTTGCTTGTTGTGACCTGGGGCAATCCAAGATGCGGCGGAGACAGCAGCCAGGTGCAAGAGCAGTTGAGGAGCGTCAAGCACATCCAAGCAACTGAGAGTGCTTTTGGTGCCATGCTTGAATCTGGGGCTGTTGTGACCTGAAAAAAGCGGAGACAGCAGCCAGGTGCAAGAGCAGCTGAAGAACGTCCAGCACATCCAAGCAACTTTTGGAGCTTTCGCTCTTGAATCTGGGGCGGTTGTGGCTTGGGGTCATCCAGCATATGGCGGAGACAGCAGCCAGGTGCAAGAACAGCTGAGAAACGTCCAGTTCATACAAGTCACTGCAGCTGCTTTTGCTGCTGTTCTTGAATCTGGGGCTGTCGTGACTTGGGGTGATCCTGAAGATGGAGGAGACCGCGGCCAGGTGCAAGAGCA